GACTTGGCTGCAGAGCAGAGGCTTCGCGTCTCCCCACAGGATGGTCGTGCTGTTCCCTGAGCCTGTGATAAAATTCAAAAAATTACCAGTGGTTCAAACAATTTATTTAATTACCCCTTTTCTTCATTAATTTTTTTTTTTTTTTAAACCAGTTACTCCCGTCCTTCTCTAATTCCATCCTCACAAAACCATTCCTTACTTTTCCCAGCAGCCACGGGAGCAGCGTCGAGCCCTCGCAGCATGTTCCGCAGCACTTGAGTTTTGACGGCGTGGCTGGCCCAGAGCTGCTGGAGGTGGGTAACGTTGAATTCCTGCACTTCGCGGTCGTAGAGCCACTGAAGGTTTTCGAATTCGCAGTTGTACAGGACGAGGGGAAACTCGACTGCCATGCTAGGGGAAAGGAGAGAAGGCATTTGGGGAGGTACTGTAACAAAAAAAAAAATCATGCAACAACACGTCACCCTGTCCTTTCTGCCCAAACCAGCGCTGTCTTTTACAGAACAGCTTTTTTCAATAAAAACTGAATTAATTTTAACCAAATACTAAGGACTAGAGCCACCGAAAGCTTGTCTAAGAGCAAGAAAAACAGGATTTTTTTCTCCCAGAGAGCAGCTCGCTTCCATATTATGCGAGACTCCTTTGCAGAGAAGTGGTTTGCACGGGACAGCCATCGCTCTGCGAAGCAGCCCAGGAGGTTTTCCCCGAGCTCTCCGTACCTGTACTGCGGTTTTCGGGGGTTCTTCTCCACATCCAGCAGCTCGTCAATGATCTCCGGCTTCTCCATCCCCTGGCCGATGAGGAAGAGAATGGCCATCATGCAGCGGACTTGGTGATAGAGGAACGCTTGACCCGTCACTTCAAACTGGCACAGATGGAAAGGGTCCTGCAGCCCCGCTTCTCCTCCTCCTCTCTCCACCCATGTCACTCCGGCGCTGAGAATCGTCCTCTGGAAGTTCACCACCCCATTGGCGACGTCCATTTTACACAGATTTCGGAAATCGTGAGTCCCCACGTACCTCTGGGCCGCGGCGTCCATGAGGGTCACGTCCAAATCCGCGCAGGGGAAGAAATATCGGTACGTCCTCTTGAGGCAGCTGAACCTGGCACTGAAATGGGGCTCCACAGGTGCCCACGCCAGCACCCGGATGTCGGGCGGGAGCACCCTGTTGAGAATATGGGTGTAGCGGAGCTCTTCCTCAACCTCGTGGCCGTTTAACTTCTTCCCCTCCACCAAGTTTGAGCGGAGATCGAGGGAAATCACCTGTGAAAGGAGGAATTAGATCAGATGACAGATGGGCGTCTTCGGTGTGTCATGCCAACTCTTCCTACACTGCTGCGGAAGAAATTCAGTCGAAGGTGTCTCCAATCAGGAGATTTTACCACTCCTTCCTGCGGGTGAAGCTGCGAGTGCCTATGCTCAGGCTCCTAGCAGATGCTACGGATTCTTTTAATAAAACCAAGCGCTGCAGTCTGCCTACATGGCATGGTCTCGAAATGGCTTCAACTTTAGTCACAGTTTTTAGCCTATCATTTGCCTTTTTTTTTTTTTTTTTTTTCCCTGGAGGTGATGATTTGAACCCAGCCTCTAGGAACAAGTTAATTAACGCTGCAGGTGCCTGCGTGTTTTAATTGGTGCAAGAAAAGCAGAGAGCCCGTCCGAGGCAAAAACTAAACCATCTCCGCTTCCTGAGCCGGGAGGGGAGGAGAGAGCAAGCGGATCACGAAACCATCGCGGCGCAGGAAAGGTTTTGCTTCCCCCGATGGCTCCGTGCCTGCCGAGTGGGGCCAGCTGGCTCCCTTCCCTCCGCCTCCCACTCCCACGCTGCCTTCCGAGACCCTTCCGTGCAGGAATTGAGCTGCCTGACTCTGCAGGAAGCTAGCCAATTCTTGGATTTTTTTTTTTTTTTTAATAGGGTTGGAGAGTTAAATCAGCTGAGGGGGTTTTGCCAAGGAAGGAGCATCTATCTCCCATTTTTTTTTTGGCAGCCTAAAATGCATTTCATCCTCTCCAAACAGGCCCTTGGAAAAAAAACAAGCATTAATTGAGGAAAAAATAAGAATAATAAACACTTGGAGGGTCTAAAATCATCATTCCCCGTTCCACCACCCCACGCAGGGGCTCAGAAATGCGGGAAGGGATCCCGACCTGTCCGAAGGCGCTGACTCCTTTGTCCGTCCGTCCGCAGCGGTGGTAGTTGGATGTCTGTCTGTCGTTTACCAGCCGTGTTTTCTTCAAAGCTTCGAAGATTTTCTCCTCGATGGTGTTGCTGGTGTTCTCCTGGCTGGCGAAGCCCTGGTAGCCCCAGCCCAGGTAGGCGATTTTCAGAGCCACGTGCCTGCGGCCGTAAGCGTCGAAATCAAAGGGCCGCTGGTGGCGTTTTCTGGTTTTTCCGGCAGCCGGAGGAGCCTCTTTTCTCCCTGCATCCTCCTTATCCTCTCGGAGCTTCTCCTGCAGCCACTTCACCTCCTCCTCCAGCTCCTGCACCCTCCTCAAGAGCCATTCTCGATCTGTAACCGTGCTCCCCTCAGCCACCGCTGCTCCCTCGGCCATAGCTGCTGTTTAATTCGTTGCTCGTGGGGTCTGCAGAGAAAGAAGGAAATCAGGGGGTTGCATTTTGATGTGGTTTTATAAGAGAATTATTACCTGCGGAATATTTTTTTATTTTTTTTAACCCCTCAGTGTGCCTAGCAGAAGGGGTTTAGCTTGGAGAGCTTAATTTTTTATTTTTTTTTCCCCACTTTTTAATCACTTCTCTCCCCCGGCCGCCACTGCACGGCAGGATTTGCTCCGTCAGCTCAGTGGCAGCACGTTCCCAGCCGGCCTTTTGCTCTCTTTCCATTTTCACGCTGCGCTCGGCCAACACCTCAGACAGCGCACTGACGGCTCCCGCTCATCTCGCCATACCATCTGCTGCAAAATTTCCCAACGGCACGCTTCAAACTTGCTTTTTTTTTTTTTTTTAAAGCCGCTTCGCAACATAAAAATATCTCAAACCCGTGTGGAAGTGCTGCCGGATCCATCCACCCGGAGTTTGTCCATCACCCCCTCAATACTTTATTTATCACTTAATTAATTTTAGCGTCGTTTAAGCAGGAATTTAGGGGTTGAATGAGTGGTTTTGGGGCTTTCTAGCTGTGCTGCTTTTCTGTTTGCCAGAGGGAAGGAGCCTTCTGCTGGTGACAGGAGGTCCAGCAGCGCTTCGAAACCCCCCCAAAAATGCAGAGTCAGAGCCCCCTTTATGTCTTTAGCCAGGAAAGTGCCACAAGAATTAATTCTGATTTATTTTTGCAGGATCCACGCGCTTTGGTGGAAATCATGGAGGAAACACCGGGAGAGAGCCGGCTGGAGCAGGCGCGGCGCTGCGACGATCCCTACGCTGCGGCTTCCTTCGTTTTGGGGGTTTCTGGGGCGCGGCAGGGAAGCAGAAGGTTGGTTCTGAAGAGGAAAGTGCTGCGGCACAGACCCGACGGAGGGGTGGAGGTCTCGGACGAGTCGGTGAGCAGTGAGGCGGAGAGCGACGCCAAGCTTTGGAATCTGGGGCAAAAAATGCGTCAGCTGCGGACTGATCCTGCTGACAACAGCATCTCCGAGGGGGAAATGGAGACAAGCAGTGATGAATCCCCTTCCCACTGCCCCACTGGGGACAGCCCCTGTTTTTCCCTTGGGGATTTCGGGAGCCGGAACTCTCCCGTTTCACAGTGCGCCTGCTCGGTGCGCTCCGAACCCAAATCCTTTATTCCTCCCCGGCTGGAACCGCTGGGTCATAGCCGGGGAAAAACTGACCGGGTGGCAAAATATTTGGAATATAAACGAGAATGGGAAAAATTCCCCATTCCGGGAGAGGATCAGAGGCAAGAACTGCGCTGGGTGATCCGGGAACAGATGCTCTGTAAGCCCCAGCTCCCCCCCCGGCCGCAGCATCTCTCCGTCCCCAACGCGTACGTCGTGCCGACGGATAAGAAAAGAGCGGCTCTGCGCTGGGAGGTGCGCTGGGACCTGGCGCAGGGCCTCATCCCCCGAAAAAACACCTCCAGAAGCACCCCAGATTGTTTTTAATGATGCACATGCTGCTCTCCTGATTAGTTTTTTCCTCCTCGAAGACCTCGATAATTGGAAAAATCCTCTTTTTTTTGTGTGTGTGGATTATTTTTATTTACGGTGTCTCGGCAAAATCTTTTTTAATAAAGCGTGTGGAAAGGTTTGTTCTAATTCTTTGTGAGTTTCAACCTAAACCCCTCGGGCACCGTCTGTTACTCCAGATTTACCCTCACCTGACCACACTCTCCGCTCCCCTTGCCTTATTTCACCTCATTTTTAACATAAATGAGTTTTAGGTTGAGTAATAATATTTTTTTCCAGGTGTGGAGATGGACTGAAGGCACGGCAGCTCTGGTGCAGGGAAAGGCCGACAGGCAGCTCGTAACCCCCCAGAAACGTCCTGAAGCCTGGGGGGGACACTGAAAAAGGGGGTGGGAAGCAGGGGAGACAGGGGACAGCTGGGGAGGGGACATGTGTGTCCCCTCAGTGTGGGAACCCTGCTGTCACCCCACCTTGGGGGGGTTCTGGCACCTCCCAGGGTGGGGGGGTCCCTGCTCCCCCAAACACCCCAGGGACCCCCCAGCAGCACCCTATGGGGGGGAAACACCTCAGGCACTCCCCCACCACCCTATGGGGGGGTCTCTGTCCCCCCAAAACCTCAGGGAACCCCTCGCCACCTTATGGGGAGGGTCTCTGCCCCCCAAGAATGCCCCACCGCCCCGTGGGGGGGGTGTGA